AATGCTAACATTATGGAAGTATGCAAAATCAAAACCAGACGGAGAGAGAGCTGTTGAATAGTCACAGATGTAAAAAGTCTGAATGCTACCAAATACAATTAATCTTGAAAGAGTTCCTTTAAAAAGCAAGTTTAAACAGTGTGATGGTAATTTTGCAGAAGCAAAAGGAGGTCCATGGCAAGTGCAGATGTTCAGAAAGAAGTTCAGAGACAGAAATATTTGTAAGATTTTATAAGACTGAGTGGTAGAGCATTCACCATTTCCAAAACCAACTCATCAACAACTTTTAGCCCCTCCTGTGCCCTGCCCCATCCATTTGTCCCATACCATCATCAAAGGAGAAAACGGGCTGCCTCTTTCTATTTCTTTGAGTAAACTATCATTCTATTGCAGTGGTCTTCAGAGTCCTGCCCCAGAGCCAGCAGCATGAACATCATTGGGAACTTGTTAAAATGCAAATTCTCAAGCCCCACCCCATACCTACTGATCAAAATCTCCGAAGTAAACCCCGCCCCCTCCATCTGTGTTTTACTCAGACCCCTAGGTGACTGTGGAGCACACTAAAGTTTGAGAACTACTGTCCCAGTGACTCAGTTCTCAAACCTGGGAATAGAATTGTTGGGTGCAATTTGTGTATTTTTTAGCCTTGATGTATATTACCAGATAAACCTCCAAAAAGTTCTGCCTGTTTACAATCTAATGGCAGTCAGTTTCTTATATCCTGACCAACACTAAAATCTGCATTTTTTAACATTTACTAAGGCTGAATTTTTTTAGTTGTTTTCTGGGACATTTTTATTATGGCATAATCTTTTTTTCCCAAGTTACTTGTAGATTTTACTTATGATTCTGTCTTTAGTAAATAAAGATGTTTTTCACCAGAGGTATGCATAACTTACCATTTTTTTCCAGTTTAGTATTTAGTTTTCTATTTAGCTTGAAGTAAGGATCTACTTCCCCCTCCCAAATAACTAACAAGTTATCCCAGAACCATTTATCAAAACCATCCTTTCCACCAAAAGTTTCAAATATCACATATATCATAATAAAAAATATCAAAATAAATATGTCATAATCATTTCTGCCATTTTCTGTTTCTTAAGATTAAGGACAATGTCTACTTGGGATTGTAGCCCCAAGGGCTGACTCACTGTCATACGGGGGTACTGGGTATGTTTGTTGACAGGTAATTTATTTCTCCTTATACCACTGCTACATTTTTTAAATTACTGTGGCTTTATAAAACAAGTATAGATTATTTTTGTTTTACATTCTTAAAATTTTTTAGTTTTGCTTGGCTAATATAAAAACGTCTTCAAAATGAGCATCAGAAATATTTTAAGTCCCAAAAGAAAACTAAGATTTTGATTTAAATACCATTAAATGTATGACTGAGTGGGAATAATATTACTTATCCAAAACATATTACTTCTCCACTGTATTAAATTTATTTACTGTTTTATTCATTTAACTTAGTTTCCCTTAATAAGTGTAATAATTTTCCAAGTAATTCTTTGACTTCTGGCTTTTAAAAAACATCTATAAATAATAGTTTTGTCTCCTTTCCAGCACTTACTGTATTGTCCAGAGTTGCCACTCTGAAGTAACAATGGAAAGAATAAGCCTGACCTCGATCTTCACATTGGAAAGTAGGGCCTTTAATTTAGAAGGCCTGGGACAAGATGCTGTGTAGCGTTAACATGACAGTGATTCAGGGCTGAAGGGGGTAAAATAGAAGGAGTAGCTCTGAGGATTTGTTTTGAATCACCTATCTTTATCATTGAAGTCTTCATTTTTAAATCAGATCTGTGCACAGGTTACTGCAAGGTCTAGGCTAAACCCCACAAGCAGAGGTAGGCATAAATGATGGGCACTATTATTTTTCAAGCATCAAATAATAAGCAGTACCCGGCTTAACCAAATCATATGGCTCTGGAGTTGAGAATTTTATTCTGGTGTGGATTTCTGCCTTAAAGATTTAGTGCCTTTCTGGTACACTGTCTTTGAATTCAAAGTGTGAGGTATTTCTGGATTTGAGAAATTACTACCTTTTGGTGAGAAGAAGAAAGGACAGGTGACACATAGCTTGGGACTAAAGACAGAACAGAACACCCCAGCACTGTTGCATTTTCTAAATGATTCCAATGTTTGACATTAATGGAAGTTGTTTTAATATCTCAGCCTGATTACAAGGATTTATAAAGATCCTAGTACATAACTCAGAGGAAACTATGTTCATTATGATTAATAGTCACAACTCTGTCACCAACAACTGCATCACTAAATATTTCTGTCCTAATTGTTGTGCAGATTTGCCCTATTCTTTATACATCATTTTTATGTTCAGTGACACAGCTCCTTTGGTTGATTGAGTTGTGAACAGTTTTTTAAACTATTTTTTAACAACTATTGTTAAACTATAAACAACTATAGTTAACTATTTTTAACTATGGCAAAAAAGAAAATTGTGAGTAGCCCTCTTAAAAAATAGAAAAGAATAATAGGTTTATTTGGTCTTGTAATTTTATTTTTAATACAGTTTTTCTACCTTAGTTGTGTCTGTGAAAATGTCATAAATCAGGTATTTTACACAGCCAAATTTGTATTGGTCATTATATAATTTTCCTGGCACAATCATCTTTTTGCCATTGTTTTACTGTTGCTCTCCTGGTTTCAGTTTGTTGATTTATTTGTCTTCTCTGCCTGACTTTGTATTACTTGCTTATCAACTGTGAGTTTTAAGTGTGAAAACTGGTAAATGGTTGCACCTGTGATTCAGGAGGAAAGGTATACTGAGCACAAAATTTTGACTAGTTATATATCATCTGAATGGTATGCCTTGAGAAATAGTGTCCTCTAACAAAATAAATTGATACAAATGAATGTTATTTGCTCAACTGCCAGATATCCACTATTACACAAGGTTTTCTTTTTTCACCATAAATCTTTTGTTTTTAAAAAATACATTTCAAGACTCCATTCCTCTAACTCTGAACTGTTGCAAAGATGTGAAGAGTTTTAAGGAAGGATTCTTCCTACATAACATCTTCAACACTACTAACAAAGGGAAGGGGAGTTAAGAAAATATTATTAAGAAAAGATAGAGGAGACAAAGGTCAGCAAGGACACAAGAAACTAAAGATGAAGGGGTCAGATGATTAGATTCTAAAATGTAAACAACCGAATGGCAAGAACTATCTCATTGGTGACTTCGGGTAGTACATACTGCATGCTATTGAGTGAGCAATGGTTATGACCATCCACCAGTCACCTAACAACTTCTTCCATGCCTCCATCTCCCTCACCACGAGCATCCTATAAGTCACCAATTTTAGTTGACTCTGTATCTGAATCATGTTATAAATCTCTCCTCGTTTCTATTTCCACTACCACTGCTCTTAAGACCTTCTCATCTTTGCTTCCTAAATGACCTTCCCTCTGCTCTTTACCTCACAGCCATCAGGATCATTGATCTGAAAAAGATGTGATAATGGCACTTACTACTTCAAAAACGCACTGTGGCTTCTCTACAGTCAAAAGTCCAAACTCTTTAGCATGGCTCTCAGCACCTTTGGCAATCAGGTTTCATCCAGCTCTTTCTGACCCGATACACCGCAGCCCCCCTCCTCATGCTGACTGTACTGTGTTACTCAGTCTTCACTAATACCTCCTGTGGATAAGTGCTCATGCCTCCATGTTTTTGTTTAAGCTGTTTTTTCCTTCCTCTCCTGCACTGAAGTCCCAAGTAGAACACACCTTTTTCTCAAGTTTTCTTCACTCCATTCCTCTTAATCCCAGCAGAATGAATGGTTCCCTTCTCCATTTCCATATGGTGTCTGTATAACCGCTGTTAAACTCATCTTCACCTTATATCATAGATTACTTTTGACAATAGATTGGCTCCCTAAGTATGGTAGTTTGTCCTAATAACTATCATTTATATAGAAGAAAGACTAACACTTAAGAAGTGCTATGTGCATCACCTCATTTAATCTTCACACAACCTTATGAGATTGGTACTCTTAGGACAACAGCCCCATTTTACAGTTAACAGAGCTGAAAAGGTGTCACAGCTGGTACACAGCAAAACTTTAACCCCAGCCTAGATTCACCTAACTCCTAACATACTTTGCTTAACTCTTAACTATTTTGTTATATTTCTCCCTCCACATCTGTGTATCCTCAGTGCCTGCTATCCAGTAGGTTCTCTGAAAGTGCTCGTTGGCTGAATGAAGAATAAAAACTCCAGTTTACAGAGGAGTTTGGAGCAGGCTGGTAGTGTGATTTCCATTGAAAGGGAGAGTGAAGGGTATCAGTGCACCATTCATAAACAAAATGTTTAAAAGAATCTTCAAAACACATTACATACACAAAACAATTTGCTATGTTGATTTGGTCTCAGAAATGTTCAACTTGAAGAAAAAGCTTCATTTTGTAATATGCTAGCTTTTTTAACAGGACACAGCACAGTACTGCACAACTATAAAATGCCTTGAATTGATTTCTAGGATGCTGCTGCCCCCTTACTTCTGTCTTTATTATGAATGTTCTGGCAAGTCAGATAATCTAATTGAACTTTTACTGGCATATAACATTGCAGAGCTAACCATAATGCATGTAAATGTTTGAGATTGAGTACAGTAAGTTTAAGATAATTGGGGTCATCAAAGTTTGTTGCAAAAAAGAGTGTTGTTTTTTAATTCATCATAAATTGAAAAATGCTTCAAATGCCATGTACCATTAGTGCTTATATAATGAGTACATTATCAATTACGCTTTTCTTGGTTTGTCTTAAGGGTCAAATTGTACAACAGAACATAACATTTAACACTTAAAAATCTTGAGAGTAAATGTTAGTTATTCTGATAGTATATAACTCTTAAAAATCACTTGAGAGTGGTTTTACTTAATCTTTTTCTGTCATCTGATATTCTTTATAAATTTAGTGCCATATAATAGAGATGTGTTTTATTAACATCTCTTCTCTGTTATTTCTCTAGTGTTGTTAATAACAATACTTGTAGTGGAAGGGATTGCTGTGGCCCAAAAGACCCAAGGTAAAGTATTTACAGTGATAACATACTGCATGTTCAGGACAGTGGGATGGCTTATTTGAAAGGATTCCAACTTTTGAGTACTATATTCATAAGCCCTCAGGGGTGTTCCAGTGACCCATGGCTTCCTGTCATCCTATCCGCCTCAATGTAACTGGATTCAGCTGCAGTTAACTAGAGTAAATTGTTGACATAAAGTCTTGCCCTGACCCCGGAAGATGACTGGTTAGCCAGAGACGGGTAAGATTCCTCAAGGGAGGAACAACCTAAGACAGGCACAGTCGCAGGGGGGCCATCAGGTGAGAAATTGGGGATCAACAGAGGTGAGGCTTAGAACCTCACCCCCCCTGTTTTGAGAGAAATCTTCTGCATCCGTGGATGTTTTGTTGCCCTTGTCTAGCTTGGATTAACACATAGTCTACAGGCACACACCTGATCATCTACATTTGCCCTCTTACAGCACTAAACTATGTTTTCTACCTACCACTTCAGCATTTTATTAAAAATAATAATCATCATCATCATAAGGGAGAAATGTGGGATTCACATATAAATCAAGTATAAAAATCAAACGAATAATCATAATTGACCTGATTGTTTATAGTTCATGATACGTGATCAAAACTGAAAGTTTCTGTGATGCACTGTTCACCATGTAAGAAATTACTCACTATGTAAGAACTTGTTCACCATGTAAAAACTTGTTCGTTATACTTCAGAAGATTGGAGACTGTTGAGAATTAGGCTTGGGGTTGATTAATGATTGTGCATTGAGTCCCCTATACAGAATTTTATTGTTGTTAACAACCATATGACCAATAAATATGAGAGATGCCCTCTCAAAAAAAAAAAAGTCTTGCCCTGATAAATTTTAAAAATTGACATGACTAGTAGCTCCTAGCACACTATGGATTATGTCCAAAAATTAAATGAGATTCGTGCTTTATCACTAAGCAAAAATAAAAATCTCTTTCCATCAATATTTTATTCAGAATACTATAAACCTGTTTCTGATCATTCTTGTTTATGAAAGAAGATAAGCCAGTGTGATTTTTGAACCAGATTTTCATGTCAGTTTCATACATTTCCTGTACACCCTGATTTTTTTATTTTCATCAAAGTTATACATACACATGACAAAAATCAAAGCATTCTAAGAAATTAATTAGGAAAAATCAGTCCCTCATCCTGCCCTACCCCACTTCTGCTCTATGAGGATAACCACTCTTTAGCTGATTCTTTTAATATTCCCCTGCGTATTTCTAAATAACATGCTATACTGTTACTTCTTAATTATTTTAGTTTTAGATATTCGGTAATGATTTCCCACCATGGAAGAGGAGAAGTTACCTCTTTCAGATACCTGCTTTCCACCGCCAGTTATATACAGGTGTTTTTTTTCCTTTACATCTGTACCACCTGTTTCAGTATAGTTATATCAAAATTCTGGCTACTCAGGGTTTACATTAAGTCACTCATTGAGGTTTTCAGTATGAAAATTTCATCTTTCAGTTTAGGAATTTTTCCTTTCCTTTTTCTTTTGTTTAATTTTTAATTTCCTTTTCTGCATTTTCTCTGTTCTTTCAGGAGTTCCTATTATTGTCCATGGGTGTGTGTGTGTGTGTTTAATATGTTCTGTTTTCCATCTGTCTTTTTACTCTGTTTTCTTCTCAATACTCTCTCTTGAGATTACTTCAACTTTATCTTCTAAGCCAGAAGTTGGAAAACTCTTTCTGTAAAAGGCTGGATAGTGAATATTTAAGGCTTTGCTAGCCTTACAGTCTCAGGAGCAACTCTTCACCACTGTTATCATGTGTCAAAACAGCAATGGAAGCAGTATGCACGATTGGGCATGGATATATTCCAGTAAAACTGTATTTACAATAACAGGCAGCCAGCCAGATTTGGCCCAGGGCCATAGTTGCAGACCTCTACTATAAACTTTCTACTAATTTTTTTCATTTCTTCTATTCTAGAAGCTTTCTTTTGTTTTCTGAGTATTCTTTTTTTAAAGTATCCTGTTCTTGTTTTATGGATATATTCTTTTTCCCTGAAGTGATTAAATAATTTTGTTTTGTGATTTTTTTTTAAACAATATTTTGTATATAATCTTTGTTTCCTCAGAATTGCTTTTGCTTGTGTTTTATATGTTGTTCATATTAGGGGCTCTCCTTGTGCTTGGTGATCCTTGAATGTCTGCCCTTATTAATGAGAGGAGCACTGAAATTTAACCGCTAGCCCTCTGTAAGTGCAGACAGGGCTCATTCCCTGCGACGTTCACTTCTGAGTGACCCAACATTGGGGAACCCTGAGTCTAGGTGATCATGTCTTTTTCTTTGGGCTGATTAGATTCCTCAGAGTAGAAGCTTTCCATCTCCTGCTTAGAGGCTCCCCTCTGGCCAAGAGGCTCTGGGCATTGAGTGGGGAAGACACTAGGGGTGTTCAGTATGTTCACATTCACCTAATCTCCATGTTTTCAGATTGATATTTCCATCTTCAGCCATGTCTGGTGTCCCCTAGTCCAATTACCCTGTTCTACCTTCTCCAAAGAAATAATCTCACTTTCTGGTGTGGTGGAGGAGCAGCAGCTACCTAGATTTATGGAGTAGGGAAAAGTATTGGAAATCAAATTGTTCTAAATAGACTTTTAACCAATCCTCATGTTTTTAAAAAGCTTGATTCTACCCCTCCATCCTTATCCCCTCTCCCACTTCCAGAGATGCCTAGTACTGCTAGTTGTTACTGCATCTACCTCTTTGTGCTTATGGGTTTATGCCCTTTAAAAAAGTCTGTTATGGTTCTTTAGGTGGCGTTTGAGGAGGGCAGAGTGCTAAATGCACATATTCAATCCATAATCTTTAATTAAAATCCCTTTGTAATCTTTGAATCTATTTGACTTTTGTGTTAAACTACATATAGAGGAATCATACAAGAGATAAACTCCTGGGATCCTTTTATTTTTATATTAGAACTGAATTTTATAGCATTTTAGTGATTTATCAGATTCTCCCACACGGTTCTGCCATTGTAAAATCTTGCCATTTTATTTCCCCACTCTTGCACCAGGCACACCTGTCTTCCAGCAGCACCTCTCCTGGCAGGCACAGTACACAGTCTTTCCTTCCTTTCACTTCTGCAGTAATCAGTTTGTTTTGCCAAATTTGACAGTGGTTCTTACAAAGCCAAATGCAGTATATGTATAACATAGAGTGGGCAACTGTTTGGGGAATTTGTGGGGAAGAGAGAAGAATGCTATTCTCTTTTGGTGGAATTAATGTTTTAAATGCTGTTTTTCCCTGAGATGGACAAAATATTGGAATCAAGCACATTCCTGCAACCCAGTGTGGAATTTGGGTTCGAACCAGTAATGGAGGTCATTTTGCATCACCAAATTATCCTGACTCATACCCACCAAATAAGGAGTGTATCTACATTTTGGAAGGTACTTGACCAATTTTTGCCTTTGATTGGATGAATTTCTACTTTATTGTAAAACTAAATACATTGTTAAAAAACCAATTTGAACAAAATTCTTAATATATTTGTGTTAAACTCTAGTAATTATGAATATTTCTGAATACTGAACACATTAACAAAATAACATTTGAAATTTTATAGGAATTTTAAGTCTCCTAAAATATATTCAACTAAATGCATCAGTATTTACATGAAACTTCTCTAATAAGACACTTGAACTTACTGGCTGGCATCTCTTATTAGGCTTTATGCAAATTTGTGTCCATGGTTACATAAGTTCCTGTCATTTCTATTTTTCCATTGGTACATTGTATATTGTGAGCTAGGTATTAACTTACAACTCCAATTTTAATCAATTAAGTACATTTAACTAATTTAATTAATTGCATATGCCAAAGGGAAAGATTACTATAGTTCTACAGAGGGGCATTATTGTTATTAATATAAAATACAACATGATAAATTTTATATATACCAATTCTCCTTATGATCTTCTTCAGTGAAGCAGTAACAGCAGTTGTTTTCCCTTTTTCCTTGTGTTGGGTTTTTTATACTTTTTTCTTGTTCATGTTGCCCTAATTTGCTTGCTCTTATTTTCTAGCTGCTCCACGTCAAAGAATAGAGTTGACCTTTGATGATCATTATTATATAGAACCATCATTTGAATGTCGGTTTGATCACTTGGAAGTTCGAGATGGGCCATTTGGCTTCTCTCCACTTATAAACCGTTACTGTGGTGTGAAGAACCCTCCATTAATTAGATCAACAGGGAGATTCATGTGGATTAAGTTTAGTTCTGATGAAGAACTTGAAGGACTGGGGTTTCGAGCAAAATATTCTTTTATTCCAGGTAATGAAGTTATCTTTAGTTTTAGAATATTAAGTCTAGAAAAGATAAAATTTAGTCAAGTTAATCAAGTCAGGGTTTTAAATAAATTAGCAAGGTCAAGGGGAAATCAGTCCATGAATAAATAAAAACAAAAATTGGAAGTAGAGCTGAGTCACTTGAATTTTGAAGCATATCATAGATGGCATCACATTTTTTTCTTAGATTTATGTTTTATAGTGTATATAAAGGCCAAAAGCATCAAAATAAACGTTTTTAAAAATCAAATTATTTTCATAATCCTACCCAAAATTATTTTGGCAGGTTTTTCCATTGGAATGATTGGATTAACCACTTATTTGAATAACAGTCTCTAAAAAATATTGAGCAATAGAAAGAATACTGCTCTGCCCTTTGAGGTGAAAGATCTGGGTTTGGATCCTTTCTCTGCAACCTATTAACTGTAATACTATTAAGCACAGAGTTGTGCCTGAGAGTTGCTATTGGCAAATGGAAATTCCTATTTCCATTAGTTTCCATTCAACTTGCCTGAGGCTATCATAACTAATCACCACAAATGTGGCAGGTGAAAACAACAGAAATGTATTTTCTCAGAGTTCTGAAGGACAGATGTCCAAAATCCAGCAGGCCCCCTGCCCTCTGATGCTCCAGGGGAGAATCCATTCCTAGCCTCTTCCAGCTCCTGGTGGCTGCCTCAGCATTCCTGGGCTTGCGGCCCCATCACTCCAGTCTCTGCCTCCATCCTCACAACCTCTTATCTCAAAATCTACTAGATACATTTTTGCTGACTAAATAAACGCACTGGTTTGTTTGTTTGTTTGTTTGTTTTTACCATATAAAGTAATATTGACAGGTTCTGAGGATTAGGATATGGACATATATTCAGGAGGGGCTGGTCTCCATTTAGCACACTCTGCCCATCTTCCCTCTCCATTGTATGTGAGAACACTGGGGAACTGTGAAGTCCTATCCAGGGTAAAAATATGCATGTCCCTAATGCAGAAACATAAAGATATGCAAGTTATTGCTCCTGTCTTCAAAGAGCTTGCAGACTAACAAGATGAAAAAGTAACTGAGTGTAACAACTATATGATCTTTTTGCTTTTATTTATGTTTTCGTGTAAGAGATTTGTTAATTTAAAAAAATTTTTAACATAGCCATAATCTTACATAAAATCCTATATATAAAAAATTAGTGTTGACTCTTTGGTGTCTATCCCTTCAGATGTTTTCCTGTGTCTGTGTATTTTACTTAATGTACATAACATACCTGCCTTTTGCCTGAATAACAAACATTTTTTTCCTTTGGTAAACATGGAAATTATTAAGTGTTGTGTCACTATTTATGTTCTCAATGCCAAACATATAACATTTTCAAGTAAAATGTATCTAGTAGACTTGATTTCTTAGAACAGTTTTGGGTTCACAGCCTCACTGAGCAGAAAATACAGACAGTCACCATATATATCCTACCCACCCCACACAGAGCCTCCTCCAAAATCATCATTGTGCACCATAGGAACATTTGTTACAATTGATGAACCTGCAGTGATACATCATTGTCACCATAAGTCCATAGTTTACATTAGGATTTACTCTTGGTGGTGTACGTTCTGTGTTTGGACAAAGTTTAATGACATGTATCCACTACTAGAGTATCATACCGAGGATTTCCACTGCCCTAAAAATCTCTGTGCTCCACCAAATCATACCTTCTCCCCCAATGCCTGGTAACTACTGATCTTATACTGTCTCTGTAGTTTTGCCTTTTCCAGAATGTCATATAATTGGAATTACCATATGTAGACTTTTTAGATTGGCTTACACTTAGTAATATGGACTCAGGATCCTCCATGTGTTTTCATGGCTTGACAGCTCATTTCTTTTTAGTGCTGAATATTTTATTGTCTAGATGTACAACAGCTTGCTCAACCATTTTATTGAAGGATATCTTGGTGGCTCCCAAGTTTTAGCAATTACAAATAAACCTGACATAAACATCCATATGCAGGTTTTTGTGTGTACAAGTTTTTAACTCATTTGGGTAAATACCAAAGATTGCGGTTTTTGTGTCATATTAAACTTTTTGTCTTTTTAATTTTTGCTTAAATGGTTAGCTGTGATGGTTGCACAACATTGTGAATGTACTTAATGCCACTGAATTGGATACTTAGAAATGTTTAAAAGGACATATTATATTACATGTTATATACTACAATAAAGATAAATTTTTAAAAATTACAAACAGGTTTCTTTAAAAAACTTAATTTGAAAGTTCAGATAGGACTTTTGTATTTACCAAATTGCCAGAATGAAAAAAACATTAGTTTAAAATGTCTCAGGATCTTTAATAAGCCTGCAAAACCTATTTCAGGGCACAGATTACTGTATGTAACTGGGTGTTTAATTCTTCTTTCAATTGTTTTTAATTCCAGATACTTCAGGTTATCAAATTACTTACTGAAAAAAGTGGCAGGAAAATTTTTAGCTTATTTTAGCATATATTTCAGAGACTTTTCTTTTTTAATTTAATAAACTAAACCCAACTTTGCTAAAAGGGGCAAAGACACTCAGCTCTTTTGCAAGAAATGTCAAAGAGAAATTTAAATCTTAATCAGCATTGGAATAAAAAGTCATAGGAACCTCTGGCAAATGAATCAGAATTGCTTAATATACAGGCAAGAATTCTAGGATATTGTATTATTGCATTAAAATTACAGAATTATCCCAGTTACTTCCACGAAGGAACAATCCATTAAAAACTTCTGCCTCAACAGATACCACCAGTAGCTTGGGGAATATCATTTAAAAGATATTAATTTATCATCCTTGTTATTAGGCCTCATCCAGATATAACAATCCTTATACAAAATTTATTTATTATTATTGGTTTTTTTATTCATTTTGTTATCATTAATCTACAATTACATGGAGAACATTATGTTTGCTAGACTTCCCCCTTCACCAAGTCCCCCCACAAACCCCATTACAGTCACTGTCCATCAGCATAGTAAGATGCTGTAGAATCACTACTTGTCTTCTCTGTGTTGCACACCCCTCCCTATGCCCACCCACACATTATACATGCTAATCATAAGGCCCCCTTTCTTTTTCCCCGCCCTTACCCCTCACTTCCCACCCATCCTCCCCTGTCCCTTTCCCTTTGGTAACTGTTAGTCCATTCTTGGGTTCTGTGAGTCTGCTGCTGTTTTGTTCCTTCAGTTTTTCTTTGTTCTTATACTCCACAGATGAGTGAAATCATTTGGTACTTGTCTTTCTCTGCCTGGCTTATTTCACTGAGCATAATACCCTCTAGCTCCATCCATGTTGTTGCGAATGGTAGGATTTGTTTTCTTCTTATGGCTGAATAATATTCCATTGTGTGTATGTACCACATCCTCTTTATCCGTTCATCTACTGATGGACAGTTAGGTTGCTTCCATTTCTTGACTATTTTAAATAGTGCTGCGATAAACATAGGGGTGATACGTCTTTTTAAATCTGGGATCCTGCATTCTTAGGGTAGATTCTTAGGAGTGGAATTCCTGGGTCAAATGGTCTTTCTATTTTTAGTTTTTTGATGAACTTCCATTCTGCTTTCCACAATGGTTGAACTAATTTACATTCCCACCAGCAGTGTAGGAGGGTTCCCCTTTCTCCACAAACTCGACAACATTTGTTGTTTGTCTTTTGGATGGTGGCAATCCTTACTGGTGTGAGGTGATATCTCATTGTGATTTTAATTTGT